CCTTATAATCCATAAAAAAAGAGAAATCAAATGTATCATTTTAAATTACGTGATAAATATAACTTTTTTTTTTTACGTGATAAAATAAATTACGTGAGGCTTCATAAGCCCTCAAAAAGTAGCTAGCTGCGATATGATACTCACTAGATTTCCCTAGCTTAGTTTTGCTGTATTCAACAATTTCTGGAGTTTCTGTTATTACAGTGGGCTGATAAAAGCTGTAGATCAAGAATGGCCTGGGATCCAAGGCCTGTGAATCGCCTTTAAGATGACTTATTAGTATCAGTAACCAAATCGTAGAAAATAAAACTTAATTTCGTTTTTTTTTATTTTTTTTTGAAAATAACACATTTATTTTCAACTCCTCATATTCTACGCAATGCTGATCAAAAAGTACTAGGAGTTCTGGGGGAACCACAGCTATTGACAACTCAAATTGTATTTATAAGTAATTCAGCTCGTGGGCACTGTTACCTACAAGCTCGTTCTTTCCCACAGCGACAACTTCATTTCCAAAAGACATCCTGTGAAACACAACGAGACCTCAGGCTACCGGCATTTCATCCAGCTCACTTCCTTAGCAGTCTCTAAAAAAACAACCCTTATCTTACATTGTATTCCTAACGAGAGTACTCGGGATTAATAGACAGCTTCCTGGCCCAGCCTTTATCACTCTTCCCTAAAATTTTGCTTGTACCAGGTTACTTAGATCTCACTACAGGAGCTGGCATTCCCACAGAGCAAGAACTGGGAGAGTAAACTGAGGAGTCAGGAGATTTCCAGCTGATTAGAAACCACGGTACAGGAGAACCGTGCTATCTCAATCTTATCTGGCTATCATGTTAAGTTGCTTCTTTTTACTTCAAGTTTGACAGGACTGTTGGAGCATACAGTGCAAACTGCTATCATGGAAACGTAATATTCCCAATGAAAAAACAATTACTGAAATGGTGGAAACTACTCACAGACAACTGGCACGGCAAAGCCTGGCTCTCAGCTCTTCCCAGCTCTGCTACTGAGAGCCTCTTGGTCTCTATCCATTTTGAATGAATGGAAGTGAAATCTGCTTTCTCTGAAATCTGCTTTCTCTTTAGTCCTGGAAGACTAAAGACCAAGCACTATGAAATAAGACATTACAGAAGAAACGTGGCAAGAACATTATCCAACCACAGTCAGTTTCTGCCTGCTCACTTTGAGGAAATTATAAAGCATAAAAGCAGAAGAGCATCCTGCAGGATGCTGCAGAAGTTTCATTATGAAATCAAAGCTAAGATGCAAGTACACTGAAACAAAAATGCTAGCTTGAGTCTTAACTACCTGCATTTAATTGAAGTGTCCACCTATTCTTATGACTTAAAAGCTGCCAGACTGAGACCCAACAGCTTTCAGCTGTCTTCTGGGAGACGAGTATCACAAGGTGTGATATGGCCAAAGTCCGTACACTATTTTGTTAATTAAATCCACTTCTGAACATTCAGGAGACAGGCTATGTGGTGAAACTGATTAAAAAATATCTTCTTAAATAAAAAGGGGTACTAGGTCGGATGCCTGGGAATCTAAAGACGACTCACCACACAGCCATGGGCACGTTACTTGACCTCCCTGTGCATTCAGTAATGCATCTGCAACGGTGTAACAGCAACACCTCAGGCACCAAGCTGCATCTCATTTCCAGTCCTGAATGAGTAATGGCCATGTGCCTCAACTGCAGAAACAAAGTCACATCCGTGCAGAAATTACTACACCATACCAGCTCTGCTCGTGCTCATCAGCCGTGTGAAGGGGGAACACAAACAAGTGTGAACAGGCAACCACAAATTTCAATTCTAACTTCACAGCAACTGGGTGAGCGACATTATCAGTTGCTCCAGGCGAGTTCAGAGATGGACTTGGGATAAAGCACCTGCAGAGGCTTATAGTTACTCTATATCTAAATTAGTATTTAAAAAAAATAAATAAAGATAATATTTTCTGTTGGTTTTGTTGTTTTTTTTCCTCCCCACAGAACTGCCCGTTTGTAGCAGTTACATCCTAGCTCCCAATTTGTAGACTCAAAGCAGAAATTTCTGCTGCAGCTGATCCCGGTGCTGTAACAGCTCAGCTGCCCCGCAGCTACAGCACCGAAGTCAAAAGCTCTGGTTCTCTGCTGAGCTCCGCTTCATGTGCTGGAAAACAGAGCCAGAAGTGGCTTCCTTGCTGACCTGCACACAGCCTAAGCTGCAGTCTCAGCGCTGTAATCGTGCAGCAGTTCTTCTTTATCCCCGTGCTCTCTCCCAGCCCCGAGCCCGTCACGCTCTCCCGCGGCCGTTTCATTTTTGGTTCCCCACAATGCACAAGTCAGCAAACACTGTTCAAGTTCTGGTACTTCCTTCCAGGAGAGCCTCTTCTGAGGTGTGAGTTACGTGCTTGCAGTACTGAAATCTCTCACTTTGATCTCGTAAATGTGTTATTAAGCCTGCTGCCCAGCTTCTGTCAATGTTTACGGCTTTGTGAGCCACATGGTCAGCTGCAGGCGAAAACACAGAAGCAGAGATGGACCATAGACCCCGTGCTGTCAGAAAGTACCATCAACCCACTGCCTTTGAGATGTTACAGAGACCGAGACACAGGTTGATGGAACAACTTACTCATGTGAAAAGTTTCCAAGCTTTCAATTTTTTAGTGGTAATATTTTGGCTAGAGCGTAACCAGACTGCTCAAGCAGAGCGGAGCCACCTCAGCACGGCGTGCGGATGCTCCCTCCCTGGAAATAGCTGTTTTTGTGAGATGCTGTTATCTTGTGGGTCACAAACGTCACGGGCATCCTTGGTGGAGCAGGGGGCTGATGGGATCATGTGTAAGAGATAGTGAAGAAAGTGAAGAAAATCTGTTCCAGCCTTGGAGGCGAGGTGAAAAAGCCTGCACTGTAAATGTAAACACCCAGCAAGGAGACAGGGGGGTCAGGAAAAACAAGGCAATTATTTCTTGTTGTTCTGATCAAGTTACACCACCTTATCTCCGTAACGCTTAGCGTTCAAAGCCCCTCACGACTCTCTATATTTACTCTTTGTTCATCCAGTCTTATCTTACCCCACTAATCCCCACCTTGTCCACGCAGCCAGCTGCCCGTTTGCCAGACGCAGGCAGACATCCTTCCTTCCTACCTCCCCGTTATCGCTTACGGCACAGCTCGGCTCGTGTGCTGGGACCGCCGCGCATTTACCGTTCCCAACTGCCTTGCGGTCGGCTTCAGGTTTCTTCCCCTTTTGCTTCCCCCCACGGTACCCAGCTCGACGCATCCGCTCATTTCCAAGCTCATTTTTTGTGTGCTTCGGGTTTTTACTGAGCGGGCAGCCCTCGTGCAAGAGCAGAGGGCCAGGCTGCGCCGCGCGCTGTGCGCAAGGAAAGAGCCCTTTCCTCTTCCTGATTTCTCAGGAATTTCTCATCACATCTCTTTGTGAAGCCTGTGTGCTAGCCAACTAGCAATTAGCTCGAAGAGCAAACAGAAATAGTCAACACATTATAATTAAAAATTCAAGTGCTTAAAATGAGTCACAAGTGTTATTCTCATACTTGAGCACAAATACCAGCTGCCTGTACTCACGTACTGCCTTCCTTCACCCCCCGTCCCTCCTCCCAGCCACACAGACAAAACACCAGCCTTGCTGGTATGCCAGAACCACAGAGAGCAACCTTTTATTAGCTTTTAGTAGCTACATAACCACCTGCTTTGGAGCTTCCTTCGCCAGCAGCAGGCTCCTCTAGATCACCGGACACGTGAAATGCTCAGAAAACTGCTGAAAACCGACTGCCGCGAGGGAGATGAGCTCACTGCACTTCATCCCACTGCTCCTGTACCCAGCGTTTACCTGCCATCTGAGCTCCATGTGGGGTGTCTGGGTTTAGCAAACACGCCTCACAAGCAACTTAGTGTTCTCCTCAGAGGACACTTATTTATTGCCTCCACAAAGGTAGCTCTCCCTCCTCCAGGGCAGCAGGGAAGCTGCTCTTCTCTCAGAAATGGTGATTACGGGTGCGAAGGGAGGCAGGAGGGCCACACGATGAACACCTCAGAGGAGCACCGTGGTCCCACTTATCTGGAGTGCATGGTGTATCACCAAGGTCAGACCTTGGGTTTATTAACCGATCTAGGCAACTGAAAACACTTTAAGACAAACATTTTAAGTGTAAATGTTTGTCTGCTGTTCTAAGGAGAGAGATAATGCATTTGTACTTAAAGTTTTTTGCGTGCAAACTGCAAGTATCCTGTCCTGTAAGAAGACTGCTATTCAGTCTTAAGCTTGACAAGTACCAGAAAAGACTTAAAGCCAAATAAAAATCTACTCGGAGGGGAGGCGTTTAAGAGAAAACTTACACTTTTCAGGAGATGATTACGGGTCCAAAGCTTTACTGCTCATTCACTTTTAAAAGCCAGAACTACGGTAAAAAAAAAATGAAAAATAACAAATCGGGACTTACACTTTTGCCACAGCCCCTCCACGTCCAAGCTGCTGGAGCCCTTGAGGTGCAGTGGGGCACTTTGTGCTGGCTTAAAGCAGGCAGGGAGGTGCCAGTAAAACCCAGTTTAACCCAGTTACCGCCTCACACAGGTACCTACAGACACCGACACGAGCAGCCGGACCCTGCCACGAAGCAACCAGGGCGTGAGCACAGCCGGGGCAGGCTGCGAGCCCCCTGCCAGCTGCTCAGCCCCCCCAAAAAAATAGGGGGCGAGACCTCCCCGAGGGGTCTGAGGGGGTGTTTGGAGGATAGCCTCGATGCCAAGCCGTGACATTGAGACTGGGGAACGCGCCTGGCTTTCCCCAAATAAAAATAAAAATTAAAATAAATAAAATCACCCCCCTGCCGCACCGCAGACCCCCAAAAGTTGTGCTTTCCTCCCCAAAATCTCTCTCACACACACACAAACTCCCACCCCCCTCAGGGAGCCACACCGTGACGGGACGCGGGGTAACGGCGGCCACAGCGGCCGGGCCCCGCCCGCTCCGCACAGCGCTCACCTGGGCGCCGAGGGCCCCTCCTGGCCGCCTCCTCCTCCCCCCCGGGGGGGCAGCGGCTGGGGCATGGACGGCCGGGAGGAGCCGGGGGGGGGTCTCCGCTGCCGCCCCGACACCGGAGAAAATGTCCCCGGAGGCCGCGGGGCTCCGCCGCCCGCCGTCACTTCCGTAGCCGGAGCAGGCGAGCGCCGAGCAGAGCGGCCGCCGCCCCGCAGCGCCTCGCCGCGGCGGAGGCCGGGCAGCGGGAGAGGGGAATGGCGGCGGGGAGCGCGCGGGAGGGGAGCCCTGAGGCGGCTTCCTCCTCAGGGGAGCGTGGGGTGAAGGGAGAGAGGCGTGTGTGGGAATAAAGATGTGTCCTGAGTGTGGTTTTTGACCGAAAGAGGTGGGTTTTGTCCGAAAGAGGGAGTGTTGGGGGGTGGTGCGGAGCGGCCAGTGTTTGTAGGAAATAGCCAATTCGTCCAAAATTGGTGCGTTCAGAATCGGTGTGTCAAATGCAGCCCATCCGAAATCACCACGTCCAAAATCATCACATCGAGATCACCACATATGAAACTGGCACACAAACCGGCCCGTCTGAAGTTGCCCCATCCAAAATTGGCACCTCAGAACTGGTGCATCAAAAATCACCACATCCAAAATCGCCACATCAAAAATCGGCCCGTCCAGAATTGGCACATCCGAAATTGGCACCTCAAAATTGGCACATCAAATTTGGCCCCGTCCAAAATCACCACATCCGAAATCAGCCTGCCCAGAATCGGCATGTCAAAACTGGCACATCAAAATCGGCACATTCAAAAACTGGCACGTAAAATTGGCCTGTCCGAAATCGGCCCATCCAAAATTGGCCCATCCAAAATTGCCCCGTCCAAAACTGGCACATAAAATCAGCCCATCTGAAATCAGCACATCCAAACTGGCCCTTCCAAAATCCGCCCATTCAAAATCAGCCCATCCAAAATTTGGCCCACCCATCCAAAATCAGCCCATCCCAAACCAGTGGTCTCATTAGCAGAGGGCACAAGGAGGGCACTGTGAGAAGACAAAGGGTGATGGGTATACATTGAACCACAGGAGGTTTTGTTGCCCCACGAGGAAGGACTTTACAGTGAGGTGACAGAGCACGGGGACAGGCTGCACAGGCTGGTTGTGCGGTCTCCTGCTCTGGAGATATTCAAACCCACCTGGATGCCATCGGGGTGACCCTGCTGGGCAGGGGTTGGACTGGGGATCTCCTGAGGTCCCTTCCAACCTCTGCAATTTCATGAACGAGCCCTGGGCACCCCTGCTGGCAGCTCAAACCCAGAACCACCCCTGCTCTCCCAAGCAGCTTTAGCCGTGCCCTCCCAGCAACTAAAACCATCTCTGGGCAACCTCTGGTTCCACATCCCAGCCTCTCTGTTTGAAGGAAAGGACATGCTTCGGGGGCATGACTCCTGAGAGACAGCCAGCACACGGTTGCACACGCATTAGGATGCGGCAGCGAGGAACAGGCAATGCCGTGTTGGACGGCACACAGGAAAGCATAACGACACAGGCGAGGGCGGCGAGCATCTGCCGCACATTTGCAAAGAAGAGTGATAAATGGAAAGGAGCTCAAAGAGCCACAACTGAAGGAATCAGCAGCCCAGAGGCATTACGAAAAGAAAGAAGAGGTTCTGAATATAATAGGTACAATATAATTAGTAAACTAAGCAGGGACACATTAGTGATCTGTAAATATTTGAATGAGGTAAATGGCATGAAGGGAGAAGACTGGTGATACATTAATGATTTTAATGGGGTGAAATTAAGAAAGGGCATGTTTAAGCTGAGAATCAGGGTGGAAAGCTTTTGAATAGAGAACCGTAGGCTGGAAAATTGTCTCCCTAAGGGAAGTGGTGAAAGCTTTATTGCCTGAGACTTTAAATGCCAGATTAGGAGAAATACCAGGGGGATCGTTTTGAATTTTCAGGGAGATAGGCTGAAAGATTAGGAGAGGAAGAAGAAAAGTGAGAGGTGGTGCTGGCTCCAGGAATTCAGGGAGTACAGCCTAGCAACTCCTGTACACTCCTTTGGCTCCCTTTTATCACTCTTAGGCTGCATCTGCCAACAGTGAAATTATTTCAGCATTAGTTACCCCCACAAGGAAGCGATAAGAACTCCTCTGCCACAATGAGAGGCTGAGACACGGGAGTCTCGGCAGAGCACCTCTCGAAGGCTCACGGGGAAACAGCAGAGGTTTGTTTAGCTATGGAAGGAGGCGCAGCACGAGCTTCCAGGGGACCTCGACATCCCCTCTGCAGCACTTGTGCTTCCCCAAAGACAATGGGAGGAAATTAGCTCAGCGTTCGCCTGCGGTGTGATGATGTCTAGCAGGCGCAGGAATGACCCTGTGCTGTGCTCCCGTGTCAAAGTAAAAGCTGGATGCCAAGCTGCTCGGCTGGTAAGCGTTTCCAGGCTGGTTTCCCTCGCTGGGTCTTGCAGGGAGAGCAGAGTACCTCCTCCGTACCTGCTCACACCTTTTGTCCTCCCCCAGGGCAGAAGTTTCCCTCCAGCTCCAGACCGGGAGAATGATTTTTCAAGAGCCCATCCCCGTGGGTCCACAGGCACATTACTAAACATCCTCTGCAGAAGGAATATATAGAAACTTCACCTTCTGAGTAACATTTAAAAAACGCCCATTTTCCAAGCTCAGCTGCAGGCTGCCAAGCATCTGAAGTCACAAAAGCTGAAACCCAGCCAAGCCATCCTCTCCATGCTCCTGCTCCCTCACGACGTCGCACCATTTCCTCCACTTGCTGACCTGGGATCAGAGAAGAGGCGCCCAGGACACCAGCACTGGGGTGTCAATGCCCCACACAGCCCTAAAATGCTCACCTCTTCTCTAGCTGCAGCCCTCCTCTCCCAGGGAAGGAAGAAAGCCAAACCTTCCTCACTGCTGGGTTTTGCCAGCCAATGTTGGCTAATTAAGCAGCTGTGCTGTGCTGCTTAATTAGCATTAAAGGCACATCTAGCATGGGGCTAGAGGAAACATTTATTACATTAGGTCTTGAGTTTGGAGGGTTGGTGGTGTTTTTTTAAAATTTATTATTTTTTTTTTTTGAACCAGAGATTGCACAGTTTAGGAAGAATGGTGTAATGCTGAATTACTTAAAGACAGATGGAGGTAGTGCTGTGTCCTACCACGTAGGTGGAAGCCAGCTAAGAATGAAGGAAATGCAAGTTTGACTTGAAGCACATGCTTACTGGTAAAGCCTCTGCTTACTCACTTGTGATTTATTTTTTTATTTTTTTAAGTGAAATATTTCTGAATTAGAGAAGCAGAAATCCTTCCAGCCTGGAACATGATTGCTTTAATGAAGTTAGTGCATAAAAAAACGTAAAATGTTTCTAAAGCCACATGAAGATACTAACAGCAACAACATACTTGGAGACGAAGCTGAAGGATTTCCTACAGCATGCACGGCTGTGCAGACCAGAATTACTGTCGTTCCAGCACTGGTCCCTGTAATTTGAAAACTCAAAGAGTAGCTTAGAAATCTTTCCCAGACCTATTCAGTACTAGATGTGATTAAAAAAAATACTTAAGTACATTTACAGGCGTGTTGGCACATCCCTTTCTTTTTTTTTGTTTTGTTTTGTTTAGAACTTCCCAAAACAGAACTCTTTATCAAAAGAATATTTGGAGTGTTTTACAGGAGACAGTACAACATGCAGCCAACCTCCTTTTCAAATACATCTTGAAACTATAGTAAGATTTTTAAAATGTATTTAATTTCAAAGTTCTCTATCTACTTAAGGGTTGAGATGAACGAAGAAAATTTTGAATGCTTTCAGCCAAAGCAAGCTTAAAAAGCAACCTCAGTGAACCATTTGAAACAAATAGAGTATTTGTACAATATGGACTAGACAAATTATAGCGAAGAGAGTCCATCCACATCTTTTGATCCAATGTATTTAGAGTAAATATATATGTATTTTATCTCATTGGCCTGAATTTTGCCTTTTTTTTTTCTCTAGCATTTTATTCTTGTTATTCTAGTTTAAGTACCTAAGTGGTTTCATTTAAATAAATCCATACCACTGAGCTCATTTGAAGATTATTTTTTTTTATTATTATTTTCTAAAGCAATTATTATTTTGCATGCTGTCCTGATAAGAACAGTCTATCACTTTGTGGTAAAATTTATTACTCATTTATACAAGTTTATACTTGAGGTTGACCACTGATTTTCATGCCTACTGCATAATTTTAAATCCTTTTTTTATTTTTTTTTTCCAGGTGGAATTGGGATCCTCATATTTCTTAGGGAGGAACTGAGTGAGCTGTGACAAAGCACACGTGTCCTGCATGGGTTGGCAGTACAACGAGGCAATCCCCAGCTCAGGCTGAGCTGAGGGAGCCCCACATGACTGGAAGCCTGGGCAGGTGTTATTATTACACAGCATCCCCAAAAATCAGACTCAGGGTGGAGCAGCTGATGTAATCTGCAACTGGGCTGAAGAAGCGAAAGCCTCCCCAGGCAACTGTGTCATTCCCAGTTGGGTGATTATTTCCTAATATACAGCAGCAGAGAGGTCCAGCTGGCAGCCTCCTTCCAGGCTGCAGCACAGCTCCCTGCCACCAGCTCTGACCTCCGTGGAAACACTCAACAGCTGCCAGGGCAGAGGGCAAAGCCCAAAATCAAACATTTTCTCAGCCAAGCGCGCTCCTGTCTCGGCAGCACCTCTGCAAGTTGTTCCTGTGCTGGCATCCGATCCCCAGTTTGGAAAAGCTGGGCTGCCCTAAAATACCAGCGGCGAGCAGGGATGTCTCTGATCGCCTTGCAATGCACCCTGCCCATGCAAACGTGTAACTGAAGAGCTGAGACATCTTACTGATAGTCCATTTGCTGCATAAATCTCATTTATTTGAATTTCCCTGCTCTCATCAAAAGCCGAACTGTAGGACCTGACAACTGGCTCCTGATTTATATTGCATGTGCTGCAGATGGCTCAGCTGTGGCACGCAGCTCGCATGCAGCTGCTGGGTATTTTTTCCCCCCTTACATTTCCAACCCTGGGAAGCAACACATGGCTATCTTTGGACAGCTCTCGAGTCAGAGTCCGGCCCTGCCAACCTCTGTAGTCAGGCTTTTTGCCAATGAGTGGGCCACAGCACATGCTGCCGTGCTGTGAAATAGCACAGCCAGGAGCCATGCAGCTGCCCTGCGGGTGCAGGCCTAGAGACCCCCCCCCTTTCTCCCACCAAGTTTCCCAACTGGTGTGGTGTTGTGTGATAAAGTTGTGCTCAGGGAGTGCCACTGCCCAGGGAAGCCTACTCAAGCCTTGAGTCACAGTAACGTGTGCAATAAAAAGCCTTCGTGTGTTAGCTGAGTAAGTCTGGAGGCTTTCATTGACAAACAGGGCTGGTAGCATCCTCGAGCAGTCATCTAATCCATCTTACTATCTCCCAGCATGATCAACACTCCTTAGCATAATAAATGCTTAAGCAAAGCATTTCTGATCTGCTCTTAAAAGCCTCAAGTGATTAAGATTCCGTAATTGACAGGTCATGACCTCCAGTGCCTTACAATGGCTTCCTTGTTAAACTGCTCTCTAACGTCTGCCCAGATATGTTGTTTCTAAGACTATGACTTTTTCCCTTCCACAACAGGAAAAATTACCTCTTTGAGGCAATTTCCCCTTCGCCTGTTTAACCTATGCGTATATACAGAATATACAGCTCATCCACCTGTTCTTGCCGTCTTGATTTTTAGCCCAGAAAGAACTGAAGATAATAGTCATGAAACCAAGGCAACTAGTACTTTCCTAACTTTCTAATTAAAAATCCTGAAGGTAAACATCAGCTCTCTCTGGCATCTGGAAGAAGACAGATCCCACAGGCGTCAGCTCTAAGAACATCCTTTAATTCTTCCCCATCAAGGTGAGGCAAGGAAGGTCACAAGGTGATGAGGTTGTAATGCTTTACTTACTCTGTCTTCCTGAGCTTGCAGCTTCTTAGAAATCAGAAATGCACATAATCATCATAACCATCAGGTGCCAATCTCATGATCTTATTGCTTCAAGTGAGGACATGAAACAACAGAATCTCTCATCCTGCAGATCAGTGAAATCAATTTCTGAATCGAAACAAGCAGCAGCTCCTGGTGACAGGCACACCAGGCTCAACCATTACCATAATCTTTTGCAACTGTAATTGCGAACAGATGTAGCTACAGATTGCTACTGAGAGCACCACAGCTATTTATCTGGACAGTACCTGGTACACTTGTCTGATACAAATGGCCCATGGTCCATGCTCCATGTCTCTAGGTGTTGACGCTTCCCAGGTTCCCTCCCCACTGCAAGCTTCTCAGATTCTGGCTTTTTCATACAAAACAGCTTTTAAGAACTTGGGTGTTCATGGCTTGTGTGGTGATGGCATAGAAGGAGGAGGGTTCCACAGGCCCTTTTGGAAGATGACATTTGACATAGAAGTAGAAGGGTCAATCTAGCCTCAAACTACTATCTCACAGTAGGTCTGCAAAGATACCCACGTCTTTAGACCTCTGAAAGTCTTACTACATGTATAAAGCCCCTTTATTGTTTTTAAAGTTACTCCATTGCTATCCATAAAGCTATCTTTTGTACTTTCATATGCTTAACACCAGAATGTAATGAAGGGAAAAATTGAGAGCTACTGGTTTGTTGTCTAAGTGTTCAACATGGGCAAACTTTATAGGTTTAGGGTAATGGGTTTCCATTTTCTCAGATGGCAAAGAAACTACAGATTCTTAGGCAGTTGGTACTGCTGCTTTGCACTCCAGCTCTTACTTGTGTGAGCAGTAGAATTTGTTGATGTGTGAAGCCTGTCTGACAAACCATATGAGGCAAGTCACAGCTGAATTTGTCTCCATTAAAGTAGACAGCCATTGGTCACACACACAAAAATCCACTTTGTGGGTTGTCCCAAATGCTGCAGGGCTTTAAAACACACTGGGAACTACAATTCTAGGCCCTATTATAGGTCCCTATACAGCCCTAGGCTATATTTTCACATTACTTGTATTGATTAATGTATCAAATCCCTGTTGAAGACATGAAATAAAGTTGATTTCATTCCCCCTTAAAGAAACCACCCAAACTAAGAATCTACAATTCATCTTCAAAAACTTGGTAAACATTAGACATAGTATGTGTGGTAGAAAAAATTGATGCCTCTCCAATTCTGAAATAACAAGAAAAGGAGAGCAAAAGCCAATGGTCTAGTAAGTGCAAGGCTCCTGTCATTACCATATTTGCACCACTAAAGCAAGGACTCCAGGGAAATAAAAAAATACAACCCAGAGCCTGGACACAGAGACAGTTAGTTCAATTCTGTGTGGTAAGGGCCTACCAGATGCTGGTAGGGACGGTTCTTGGTGAAGGTGCCATCTGGAGGTTGGTTACAGGTTTGTATCACTCATGGAAAAATAACTGATAGAGAAAACAAGAAGCTTGCATATTACTTTATAAAAAGTGACATTTACAAATGCATGGCTACCCGAACCCTTAAGAAAGATTACACTTCCTGAAAGGTGACAAGCATGCCATCGGACAGCAAGATGAGTAAGGCAGAAAGCTGCAGAAATACAGTGAGTCCAAACTAGTGCAAGTAAAATAGAAATTTGGAAAAGAAATCTTCCGTTCAAGCCACTTCAGGTGAACTTGTTTTTTCTGGATTCTGGCATCTCGAGAGTCAGCATGAGAATCTCCTTTGAGAGCTCTGCCTCCAAGTCATTCTAGCAGGAGAAAAAAAAGGCACAAGAGAACTCAGCGATCACACACAGTAGTTTTCATATATTCTTCTGACACAAACACATCTGCAGAGATCAAACCTCAAGATATTATTAGCACTGATTAACCCAAGCATTGAACTGAAAGTTCTCGCTGCTGCAAGTGGCGGTAGTATCAGTAGTCACTACAGAGGAACCTCCAAAAGAACAGCCAAAATCACTCGGTAGCCTTTGTACTGTGCCCCGATGGGACACCTTTGAGCTGAACTGATATGCTCTAGAGTGTACACACCTGAGAAAAGCATTACAGGCTGCTAAGGTGCGCTTGCATTTCTGGAACATAAATAAGTGGATCACCAACCTGACTAGTCCTATATGAAAACATATAGAATACTCTCAAATAAATGTGCTTTCTGATCACAGTTTTAAGGTTTATCACTAAATGCCTTGTGCCGTGTCTATAAACAAGCAGACAGTAACCCAAAGAAATCAAAGACAGCTTCTATGCTCAGACATGGCCCAGCTCGCTCTGGAAAGGTACATACAGAGTTCCCAAACATCTTTAGATGAACTTTTCCTCACCAATGCCTTGCAGGTTACACAAGCATGTATGAAACAGGCATTGTGTTTTATAGGGAAAGGTCCCTGTTGCAGTCCACAAGGCAGCTGTTCAATAACACATGGGCCCTACTACCCTTTGAGAATTCAGGCACAGTAATGAAGGTCATGAGACCAAGAAGCTGTGGCACAGTTGAGTGAATAAACATTCTGACAGGTGAAGCAGAAAATCCAGAGGGATACAGATACATAATCCCCACTGATACCATTATGCTCAACTGCCCTTGTAGCTTTAGATATCGTGCCTCCAACAGTTCCTCCTACCAATATGCACTACTTCTGCCATATCAGAGCAAAAATTTCCCTCCAGAGATCATTAAGACTATGATCTGAGGTAGATAAATCCACAAGCAACTTATACATATAGCTTGTTTTGGAATGACAGCACCCATTTAAATCCCTGTGAAAGATAAAAACGCTTACCAGTTCTCGTCTTGCTTCTTCAACCTTCACTTGCACAAGGGAAGGATTCTAATGAAAGAAAACGGCATAAAAATCGGTATTTCAACATGAATCGCAGAGTTCCTGCATCATCGCAAGACTCTAATCATGTGCCCCAGGGGATTTCAGGGATAATAAAATCAGTTTTGTGTACACCCTTCACATACTATAGATACTGACATTAAAAGCCTATTATCAGTTTGGTTTGGACAATCAGATATTTTCAAGATTCTGCTATAACCTGGTGTCTAAGGAAATATTTTTATCCATTTTCCAAAACTACCAATTGAGGAACTAGACTTTAAACATATCCAGGAATGAAATTATCAGAGCACAAACTTTCAGCAGTGTGCAAGTATGAACCCTCCTCCTTCATTCTGTCTGCACCAGCAGCAGGGCATCAGGGCTCTCCCTGTCTCCACTGACAGGGAGTCAGGGGAGGGAGGAATTGGGAAACCTAATCCAATTTGAACATCCTGTTTTGCTTGAGGAGAGGAGGCAGCTGCCTCTTCGAGTAAGATGGATTTAAAAGAGAATCAGTCCCATCCTCTTCTTTCATCCTTTTGTTCTAGGAGGGAGATGGCAGTATTTGTATAAGGGAGAAATCAGGTTACAGGGAGGCGTGCTGAGGAGCAGGAACTCTGTAAGGGCTGAGGGGGTGAAGGCTGGTCCAGCAGACAGGTCCCCAGTTCACAACACAAGATACATGATTCATCTCAGAATTTCTGCATGACTTTGGACAAGGCCCTTTGTTTCTCTGGACCTCTACTCCCTGCTTATAAAAATTGGAATAAATCCTTCACCTCTTGGAGGTTACCTGTATTATGAACTGCAGGGTGCTCAAATGAGGAGGTAACAGAAGCCGTAACAGGAAACTCAAATGCAAAGGCAAGCATTTAGCTTACCGCTTTATTTACTGAAGCCAAAGCCCACTCGACTATCTGCTCCAGTTTTTGCAGAATCTCACTTGAATGACAGAAAATCCTTAATACTCATCTGTAAAAGTAGTGATCTTCCAAAGGAGATCAGAAATACCAGGGCTGAGTTGTCCCAAGTATCTCAGGCGGCGATATACACACATCACACACAGCCAAAGACATTTGTTTCACAGATTTACCGTTTCCCCATGATTTCTTTAAGCCACTATTGTTTACAGAACTGACCTCAATTGAAACAGTCTTTTGTAATGTGAGTTTTTCTAATTTGAAATGATCAAACATCTTTTTTTTTATAAAAGGTGCTTCAGAGAGAAGCCTACTGAGGTGTGTTCCCAGCATCCTCAAGAGAAATCAAGGAAAATGATGGAGCAGCCAGTACTCATACAAGCTATGGTACTTGTTTAAGGAACGAAGTCTACATCTGGGTATTTCTTCATCATTTTTACAACGCTGCTCAGAGCTTCAACCTCTGCACCGTGTGCTGTGTCTGCCATATTGACAGCCTGATTTACTAATGTATTAGGACATGTGTAATCTGAAAGTTTGTTATACTATGGAAATATACATTTTCTTCTAAATTTTTGATTTCTAGCTAATTCATCTTGATACTGAGCTCAACCAGCCTATTTCTTCAGATCGCATTCCTAGACATTTTGTTAGAGCAAAGTTTGCCAGGCAAACACTCATTTTTCTGGCTTTGATTAATCAATATATGGCTTCTTGTTTTAGTAAAGTCTTTTGTTTTCACAACTCATTAATAGATCTCTACAGAGATCTTTCTATCTACATGCAACCATTTCCTTTATATTTTTGAAGTCCATTGAAGTCAATCTGACTGCATGTATAAAAGAACAGTGAAAAATAATTACAGGAGTTAAATCTAGGTAGGAGTCAAGTTCCCTCTTCACAGGCACCACTTCTTTCTGCATTTCTTCCAGTTTCTGTGGACAGAACAAAGTAGATTACATTTCATAGACTTACTTGTAGAAGTGATATAAATCAGCAAAAATACATTTACAATTATCTACAACATTTCAGAAGTCACCCATGTTGGCTAGAGGTCTTGTGATCTTTCTCAAAATGCACAGAGAACTAAAGATCTACCATTCATTCAGCTGTCAGTCAGTTAAACCCAGTTCAAATTTTACACAGATACACTTTCTCTTCCTTTCTGAGAACATACAACATTGTTACCTACAGGATAACCACCTGATCTTACCTCCCTGACAGGAGGGAGCCTGTCAACTCAGAAGCCACCAGAGGACTTTCATGGTCAACATCACTGTAGGCCACACACAGACCTGAGCCCCAAGGAAGGAGATACAGTCTCATGCCTATGCCTTGGGTGTGATAATTTTGCACAAGCAACAGAAAAAGAGTCCCCAAACATGCAGTGGTTTGCTCATTCTGTTAACAAGGGGAGGTAGTTTCTCCAGGGAGCTTAAAATTTAGCACATAACAATGCCCGTAATTTTTTTCAAATAATCAACCTAAGACATTCCGAAAAAAAAAAAAAAAGGAATAAAAAAGAAAAACACACTCGGAAGATGAAGTCATCCGTGCTGCCTAATTTACAGAGCTCTTGGCAGAGCAGACATAGAAATGCCAGTGAGTCAAACATGCCCTTTTACTTAGGTTTGGGAAAATGATGAAGGTCAGATAAAGACTAGAAAGGTTCCAAGGCCATTTTGTATGTAGAATTCCAACAATTTTTAGTTAGTGCTCTTCTGAAACACTGTGCAATGTCAACATTGCCACCCAGTGCTGGTTCACAAGAATGACAACATACATTCAGGAAACCTATTTTAATTGTTCAGCCTAATAGGCAGGAAGAGAGTGTAAAAGAAATGGGAAGAGAGACTGAAATGCGCGTTTCAGTAATAGCAAGTAACATTAAAACATGTTGAGTGCAGACAGAACAACTCAAACACATTAAATATCTATAAATACTCAGAGCAAACCTGGATGATCTATAGCTAGTAACTCAAGAAGTGTGCTTTTTCCTTTAAAAACGTCCTGCTGGACTTAGGATTTAGTTTAAAATGTTATGTTTAAAGACAAGAAAAAGGCGCACAGAGGTTCAGAATCTGGGTTTCACTCAACCTTCTCTCCCTTAGCTCAGCAGTATTTGAGACCAGGTACACCCTAGAAGCAATCAGCTGGGTCATTTTATTTCGTAATTGCAATACACAGACAGCCATGTAATGAGATACATTCCACAGAATACCCACTCCATTTGCAACATGGATTGCTGTAGAAACATCTCTCTTATACCAACAGACCTACCTCAGACATGCTCACTAGTGACTGATGCATCAATGAATAATCCAACCCATTGGCAGCAAGCTTCTCCTACAAACAGGAGAGTTCAAACATAAATGACAAAATATAAGAGGAAAGAGAAAGATTTTGCCATTTCCTTGGGTTTTGATTGAAAGAGGCAAACAAGAACACAGTCTGAAAATAATAGAAACATGCTACTTTAACTACAGCTCTAGCTGGTGTATGAAATCATACTACTAAAATTTATAGTAATAAATCCTTCCTGAAAATTAGTGGGGGAAGAGCACATGGCAAGGCTATGAAGAGGTTTCTCAGTAAAACATGGTTAACACTAATTCAACATTTTCTATCTGGTATTTGTCAGGATATTGAACATCATCCAAGTATTAAGTAAAGCATTTACATATCCTTCATCACATAGGGAGAGGTGAAGAAGACAGAACAACTTCTGCCTTCAACATTTAATCATTCATTAATCCTCCCCAAATAGCTATATTCAGGATTTTGACACAATTTTCCTCAGTGAATCATATGTTCTACTGTTAATATAAGAGTATACAGACAAGTTAACAGTACATCACAGCAAGCACAAAGTAGTCTGAGCTAATATGCCTAAAAGGGAAAGTATCTTTGCATTTAGCAAAGGACATTCAGAAGAATGAGTGTGTACATATTGGGAACAATTGAAGTATGGTAACAACTCATCCTGTTAGCCCACATGTACAAAATCCAGGAGTTTAGGAAGCATCAGCAATGTCCCTAACTAGTTCTGGGCCCGATCAATCACAACTACGCCAACCTATTACAGAATCCTGTTAAGTAATTCCTTCCGTCTACCTCAGCAGCCTTAATCCTGATTTTGAAATCCTCAGATTTGTCTCTCAGGAACTTCAAGTTCTGGGATCGGCTCTCAGCCTTCACTCTTTCCACCTCAAGATAGTCCCGTGTTTTTCTAAGATCCCTAAAAAAAAAAGAAAAAGAAAAAGAAACAAGCATTTACATGCAAACAGACATCAGTATTCACATACCACTTAGTCATCTATGCTCAAGCTAAACACCATAATACAACCAACTCCAGAGGGGGAGAATGCTTGCATTTTCCTGTGAGATTCCGCCATGAAAATATCCATGGCTGTCAACTCCAGACTCCCAAGGGCCACAGGATAAAAGGGTCAAGGGGAAAGCCATCTGTGTAACAGCACAGAATAACAAGTCTTCTGCTTCATTTTGTAATTAATTCACTTAGGGACATGTTATGCAGGCTAAACTTATGGGCATAGAAAGGGGCCATGGCAAAACTGGGAGAGGCATGTGGGTCTTGCATGTGTGCTGCAACAGCACCACAATTAAAACTTTGGCAGAACCAGACAATAATTAGAATGGAAGGGAACTGTGGAGAACATCTGGACCAATGCCCAGAGAGGGGCTGATCACAGCGCACTCGGCAAAGCCCTTCAGATGACATCCTTTAGGGAATGGACTTGATACTCTTTATTTTTTTTTCTTTTAGACTCTCACTGGTTAAAGGAAATTCTTACTTAGGAATCTTTCTGGTTTTGCCTGGCTCCTTCACTCTAACTACAAAGCCTACAGTAAGTGTGGTTAGAAGATGTAGTTTGCCATCACCCTCAGGTGAAGAGGACTGGTGGAAGATGCCACCCCATATCTGAAAACTGCTTGTAAACCATTTTTGTTTTAAAATAATAGGTTTGATCATAGTCCCAAAGTCTTTTGACTTCTGAATGTGCCCATAACACACAGTTTTTGGCAGATACTTCCCAATACTGTGGATTACAGATGAATCAAAAACCTGTCAGTTCGGTTACCCTTGTTAGTTGTCACAAGGAACGCACCACACAGCAGAGATCAGCAGCACTGCTTACATCTTTCCCCTTTCCATCCATTACTCACTCCTCTAACCGCTTTTCCATCGCCAGTGCAGCAGTTAGTTTCTTATTCATGCTGGCCAACTCCAGCTCCAATTCTTTGTTTTTTGATTCTGTTGCATACAGCTCGGAACTCATATCATTAATGGCACAGAAGAAGCTGGTGGAAAGAATCAACAGGAATACTCAGACAACTTTTATGAAGCTCAGAATTATTGTTGTTTACCCACCCCATACTTTCCACAAATGACCTGTTTTTCTCATGCTATGATGCATTAGGCAACTAACCACCAGGTATTTTTGAAGAGGAAAATAAGTCACTGAAAGTATTTGCTTCCCTTAATTAGCAGAGATTTTGTCCAGAAGGGGAAACAGCCCAGCAAACTGAGTACTGGGAAAGGCTAAACAGGACCTGGCAGTCCAGTGAATATAGCCACCAGGTTTGAAATAATAAAATGCTCCACTCCTGGCTTGCCAAATTGCCTTTGAAATTCAGTTCCTGAAAATGCATGTCCCTGGGACACACCCAGAAGTATTTTATCCACTTATTCTTCTCAAGTTGTTCATTTCTGCCTACCCCTCTGTCTCTAGAGAACTGTGAGAGCAAAGCTCCTGAACATGGTTTAAAAAAAATGGATTCCAAGGCAGATTTCAGCTCCTCCTTACTGACAATGCTCAAGGAACTCCTACTGTGTTATAGTTTAAGGCCAGGCAGAAGGGAACAGAAAGAACAGACTAACAGCTGCAATTGCTCTGTGGTTGAGACAAGGAAATCTCCTTACCATAACTGAGGCCTTATAAGAGATGAGACTAAACAACCAGCTACAGTTCCACAGTCCTTGCCTCAGCAATATAAAAGCTGCTACAGCTTGTGGACAGTTGTAGTGGTCACATCCTGCAGGCACTGATCACGAAGGCATGTGTCAAAAAGAGATTTAATTGAGGCTAAGGCACCTTCAGGGCTTCAGAGGCTTTCCTTACAGGGAAAAATCAAGTGTTGTGCTCAGTTTATGTGTCCTCTAAAGCTGCCCCAGAGGTGCCAAAGAAGCTGGACAAGTAAGACCCCTATTGTGAAAGTACAATTTGAAACTGTAGAAAGGAAAATTGCACAGACCACCGCCCCAATGCGAAGTGGGAAGGACTACCTGGCAAGAGAGGTGTCCTTCGTTCCAAGTGTTATTGCACTGTTTACCAGGGTGTTGAGGTAGGTGGCGCCTTCGCTGGACAGACTGGATAATGAAAGACCCAAGCCTTTTGTGAGAAGGTCCTCTAGATACTTAGCTGAAAAACAAGTTGAAACAAAAAACAGATTAAAAAAAAACAAAAAACAGTTATTTTAGCTCTAGGTAGGACCCAATTCCACTCCAGATTTTTTTTTTTCTCTCTCTGCTATTATGGAAAGAGCCATCACGCTTGTCATATGAAACCTCTGCTAGTAATGATATTCCTTCCTACCAAGGGAGTCTGAAATTACAGCAGAGCTCACATCTATAACTGTCTGGTAGCATCTACATTCTCTGACAGCCTAAATCAACTGCACAGTCTCCATTACTACTCATTTGGTGTCAAATCACTAGAGGACTTGAAGAAAAAAACAAATGGGTTTTTTACAACATTGTCTTGTGCACAACATCACCCTCTGAACAGAGCAGTAAAATTCCTTCCTGAAAGAAGCCAATGAAGGGATGATCCTTTGGCACATCTATTAAGATCTACTATGGCCCCCTAAAAAACTCACTTGCTCCAGAAAAAATGATATTGGACACAGAGTCCAGGCTGCAAGAGCATAACTTAATCACCTCATTGTTGTTTCAGATTCTTCAACTGTTTTCCTTAGCAGTGGACTAGCACCAGCTCAGACTCTTAAATTAGCTGTAGGGTCTCTCTGCTATCTATCCAGACAATATTCTAATGCTGTTCTTATTCAGCAGGCTAGGAGGCTTTTGCAATCAACCTGCTTGTCCACATTTACAGCCTGCGCAAGCTGGCTAAAAAATTGCTTTTGACCAACCTAATGTCAGAGTGTACTTTGCTGAAAGGAAAGCACAGAGAACATTGGAGTGAAAGCTGTACCGTAACAAAAGCTAAGCTTATTGCTAGTCTGTTTTTTAAATACACTAGGTGATAAGTTTTTAATAAAAAAGTCTATGAGGTAACTAAGGAAAACTGTGATGAAACCAAGAACTGGAGCTTCTAACTCACCTTGTGCTTCATATTCTGCTGCCTTCTGCTCCGTGTCTTCTACCAGAAAAGCCAGATCTCTCTCTCTGGTTTCACTGTATTCTTTAAGATTATACAAAATTTCAACAGTCTGGGGGTTCACTTCGTAATGCGGAATGGGCTGATTCTCAAACACTTCCTTCAGCCATAAAGTAACCTGCCAGAGGATGGGGGAAAAAAAAAAAAAAAAGTCAACAGCCAAGTGAGATGAGAGAAAATAGCCGGAGCGCTGCGAGCTCTGCGTGTTCGTTTCCCCTTTAACTTCCCTCATCTCTTCAGGACCCCTGCTCACCTCCTAATTTTATAAATCTCACCTTTTTATCCCCACGCCCTGTTGGCTACAGCGGCGCTGGAGACCCCAACCACCACAGCTCCCCCTCTTCTCCTCCCCTTCTCCCCCGAGCCCGGTGCCGAGCGGTGCCCCCCCCCCCGCCATTACCTGCCGCAGCTTCTCCATGGTGTCCGCCTCAGCCATCAGCCGCCGCCTTGAGCCTCCCGCCTCCACCCCGGCCTTCCCCGCGCGCCGCGGGGCCTGCTGGGAGCTGTAGTCCTGCGGGAGCGCCCCGCCGCCCCTGCCGTGTAGCCACAACTGCGGTTGTCCTCTCGTTTGTCTTTTGGGGTCTGATTTTTAGCACCTGAAGCTCTTTTGTTTTATACTTTTTATAGTTTTTTTTTATTATTATTTTTTTTATTAGGCCTATTGCTTTATCCTTTATCCTATTGCTTCATCCTTGCGGCAGTTCAGCCACAAGGTCGCTAACGGACAAGCATCCGGGTGCTCTCTATTTAAAGTTTGCTTAGATACGAGGTTACAATATCCTAACTTTAAAATCTCAAAGCTCAAATAAAAATAATAAAAAAGTGCAATTCACTAACTGCAGTCGTTGCTTTTAACAGAGCTGATCGACGTGCTCTGAATGTTTTGAAGGAATTTGCTTTTTCTTCTTATGCACCCAGTAGTTTAAGAAGTCTTTAGTCAGTAAAATATTGAAGTGGTTTTTGATGGAATTTTATGTTTCATGCGTATCACGATACAAATTACAGAATCACAGAATCACAGAATTTCTAGGTTGGAAGAGACCTCAAGATCATCGAGTCCAACCTCTGACCTAACGCTAACAGTCCCCACTAAACCATATCCCTAAGCTCTACATCTAAAAGTCTTTTAAAGACTTCCAGGGATGGTGACTCCACCACCTCCCTGGGCAGCCTGTTCCAGTGTCTAACAACCCTTTTAGTAAAGAAGTTCTTCCTAACATCTAACCTAAAACTCCCCTGGCGCAACTTTAGCCCATTCCCCCTCATCCTGTCACCAGGCACGTGGGAGAACAGGCCAACCCCCACCTCGCTACAGCCTCCTTTAAGGTATCTGTAAAGAGCAATAAGGTTGCCCCTGAGCCTCCTCTTACAAATAAAGACACATGAAACCCTTTGCCAAGAAGGCACGAATCATCTTTTTAAACTAAAGGGCAAAAGTTAGAACCTGAATAGCTTGAGTATTGTTACTTGCGTAAAAAAGGCATGCTCCTTTTTTGACTAACATTTACGATTCCTGCAAAGGCCTGCTGGGAGCTTTTTTTTTTTGCAGGACTCCGAGGCCGCTGTCCCCATGTGCTGCCCGACCTTTGGCACCCTCCCCACCTCCAGGCCTTGCAGTGAGGCTGCGTGGCTGTCACTGCACCCAGGCAGCTGAGGGGTCACCTTTTAGGACACCGGCATTAGCAGGAGAGGGGCTGAGAAATAAATAAGCTGCTTTGTCAGGTCACTGAGACCAGCAAGGCGCTGCATGCTGTGGCTTTTTCACCTTCTTTCCCAGAGCACAGATTTAAGTTTTTAAGAGATTTAAGCACTTTTCCGCCCCATGTTCAGCTTCCAGAAGCTGAACAAGACGGACACCAACCCCCACAGCCCCCAGAAGGGTGGCGAAGCCCCCAGCCCCACGCGTCCCCTCAGCGCCCACCCAGGGCCATTTCAAGCGCACCTGCCGTAAAGGCTATTTTTTCTAAACACCCCATTTCTCTCTGCTTTTCCAGACACACACACAGAGGGCGGGCTGAGGGGCCGGGGGAAGCTCCCCCCACCCCAGGCGTGGCCCCACCGCCCATTAAGGGCGGAGCGCGGCGCCGCCATTTTGTGGAGAGAGCGCGGGGCCGGCAGCCTCCTCCCGTCTGCTTCACCCCCAGCCTTCAGCCGCCGCCGCCACCATGCTCTCCGCCCGCCTGGCCGCCACCCTCGCCCGCTCCCTGCCGCGGCATGCCGGCCTGGTGAGCTCGCCTTCCCCTCCAGCCGGGCTGAGGGCTGAGGGGAGGGCGGCCGCCGCCGCCATCTTGGGGGCCGCGGTGACATTGAGGGGCCGCAGCCCCCCGTGGCTCAGCCCCCGGGGGTCCGCTGTGGGGTGGGGGAGAGGGGGGCGTCCCCAAAGCACCCCGGGGACTTCATCCTGCCGGGGATGGGTTGGTTTGGGGAATGGGGACCGGGTTAGGGGAGCCGTGCCCTTCGCTGAAGGTGAAAATTGGGCCGTGAGGGGTGTGGGGAAAGGGGCGAAATCCTGGGGGGTTTGGGGGGCTCCATGAGGGGCAGGGGGGCGCAGGGGCTGTCCCCAGCCTGTGCCCCTTGTGAAGGTGAACGCAGGCCTTCGTGGGGTTTGGGGCTGCAGCGTGGGCTTTCTGCGGCTGCAGAGCTGCACTGTGAGCTTCAGGATTTATAGCTATAATCACCATTTAATGCATCAATTATCACAGCTTTTTCTTTTGCACAGTCATCTATATTTTAGCCACGCTTTGCTAGGAAAGGTCATTCCTCGCTTTACCGAGAAATCAATCCTCCTAAGACATAACCTTGTTTTTTCTTGCGTGGACGCATGAGGTTTTTGCTGATTTATTTGTGTTTTTTTTTTCTTCTTTTTTTTTTTTTGAGCTTTCGATGCCACAGGGAATGGTGGCAGATGAGGGAGGTGCTGTGGGAGCTGCTGCAGCGCTGTGGTGGTGACAGTGCAAACCAAGGGCTGTGCAGAAAAACGCAGCGATTTAGAGCAGTCTCTTTTAGTGCCCGTGGTTATTTATTCATGTTGGGTTTGGTTTTGTAGCTGCAGCTTGGGAACGCAGAGCTTTGGAGCACAAGTCGAAATGGAGACACACTAAATATCTAATCTCATACTGAGAAATTTTAACGTAATCTCTCTTTAAAATACTGTATTCTGTGTGATCAAAGAGTCTTTGCTTATTGAAACAATTACTTATTTTAGGTTTCAAGAAATGCCCTGGGTGCAGCATTTGTTGCCACAAGAAACATCCATGCCTCCAAAAACCATTTCCAGAAAACCGGTGAGTCTGAAGAAAGGCTCTTATTATTATAAGAGTACCGTTTAAGACCTTGATCTTAAGTCAGACAAGGTAATTTGAACTTGGAGTGTGAGGTGCATGTGTCAGCTGACCAAACACTTAAGGACACTTATGTACTGGCAGTGTTGGGAAGTGGAATATCAGTTACATGGTCACATCTGTCAGAATTAACTTTAATAATTGGTCAAAGTGTGTCCAAACCAATGGGGTGATCGCATGTCAGCTGGCTCACTCTGCTTATCTGCCTCCCAAATGCCCAATTCAGTCTTTCAGTCCTGCAGAATTACCTGAAAAATGACCCAAATTCCAATTTCCTGTCTGCTTGTTGGCAATATTAGAGAAAGGATGACTTTCTCAGGCCTACTTTGACCTTTTGTCCTTGATTGTAACTCTTGAGCTGCTAGGGTCTTGAGAAGGCAACAGCACTGCATAGCTGTGTTTCGGTAGCAGTTTATGTACAATTTTTGTTGTGGTTTAGGCCAAGTAAAGGTTTTATTAGAAAATAATTTTCACTACTTACTGTTTCCTAGCTGAGGAAATAAAAAGTTGTTTGGGGCATGCTGCCAAATCAGGGGAAGATGGAAAACATAGTTCATATTGAACATCTTGCTCTGTAAAGGCATTAAGTGCCTTTAGAATATGCTGATTTACAAACGAGTTGGTGTTTTCATGCATGCAGTCTAAGTAAACGCACTGCCTGCAGAGAGGGCATGTCAGTTCTTTCTGAGTGAAGTCTAATCTACTTAGTCTAATGGCCCTCCAGAGGGAGGGATTGCTAACAGAGTAGGACATACTGAAGGAAATCAATGACAAAACTAAACAGCCATCAGTGTTTTGATTGAAGTCTGTTCAGTGATGACTTGAAGCTGCTTTTACTGGCTGTAAACACAAACTGTTACTTACCATCTGCATTATATATATGGTATATATAATATACCTGCTAGAACTTAATTATACCTGGGAGAGGCTAACTTGGCTTATGAATTAAAGACAAGTTTACTGAATTTCTACTGTGCCTTAATTCGCTAAATCTGGTTTGAAATACCTTCTCCTAGGCACTGCTGAGGTGTCCTCTATTCTTGAGGAGCGTATTTTGGGAGCTGACACCTCTGCTGAACTTGAGGAGACTGGCCGTGTGCTCTCGATCGGTGACGGTATTGCCCGTGTGTATGGCCTAAGAAATGTGCAGGCAGAAGAAATGGTTGAGTTTTCCTCTGGGCTGAAGGTGAGCTTCCACTAAAGCAGTTTATTCATTATACAAATGAGAAGATGACTTTTTAAAAGCCAGTCTGAATCTGTGCATGGACTCCTCCATATGGAGATTTTACAGACTTCATTGTAATTTTAATGTGTAGTAACTAGTAGACTACTAGGCAAATACTACAGAAAGCAAATATTCTTTGAATTTGTAATGCTTTCCTTTGGTATCCTTATCTGGTTCTTGGCCAACACTTGAGCTTTATTTGCCTTCCTCTAGGAAGTGTTCAGGGCTAATTTGGCACTGGATTTTGTTTTCATAGGTTTTAGGCAGGCTTTTATGATTACCATTGAAGAAAAAGCTCTGTGATCTATTACAGTGCACAATTTGGTGACTCCTTCTAGTCCTAAGGGTAGACTAACGTTAAAAAGCTGACTGTTCCCTAATACTACTGCAGCATCTCTTCCAGAATTGTTAATGCTCTGGCTCGCCTCAGGCAGATAAATGAATTCTCTTGTTGAATTCCTAAGCAAGAGAAATGTATTTGAAACCTACTTACCCTTTCTGTTTTTCTTTGGGAGAGGAATGATTGCTGCAAGTATAATTATGTAGTAAACTGAAGGCTTAGGCAGGTTCTGTCACCAGTATGGGAGAAGATAAGTGCACTGAACTCGATCTTTGTGGGTCCCTTCCAGCTCAGGGTATTCTGTGATTGGATGTAAGGAGAACATTGGTAATTGTTGCCGGTGTCCCATATTTCACACCGTAGACTAATCACATCGATATTAAAGCATCAAGAATTCACCATAGATGCTGGTATTGTTTTTCTCATGATATCATGATCTTTATCCTAGGGGATGTCCTTGAATTTGGAGCCCGACAACGTTGGTGTTGTCGTGTTTGGTAACGACAGACTGATCAAGGAAGGGGATGTTGTGAAGAGGACCGGTGCCATTGTGGATGTTCCTGTTGGGGAGGAGCTGCTGGGCCGTGTTGTAGATGCCCTGGGCAATCCCATTGATGGGAAGGTGAGTGTCACGCTAAGCGTTAAGCTTTCTCCTGTGTGGTGCAGACTGCAACGGGGTTTCTTCTCTCTTTTAAGGGTCCTATTACATCTAAGACACGTAGGAGAGTTGGCTTGAAGGCCCCTGGCATCATTCCCAGAATCTCTGTGCGGGAACCCATGCAGACTGGTATTAAGGCCGTGGACAGCTTGGTGCCAATTGGCCGGGGCCAGCGTGAGCTGATCATTGGTGACAGGCAGACTGGGTAAGTTAAATGCCCAAATGAAAAATGTTTCCATGAACAGAGACTTGAATGCAGTGTGCTCTACTGTACAAACCTGAACACAGCTGGGTGGAGGTTGGGAGAGGAATGGGTCACATAACTTAACCAAACTGTGTGTTGTACAGGAAAACATCAATTGCAATTGACACAATAATCAACCAGAAACGATTTAATGATGGAACAGATGAGAAAAAGAAGCTGTACTGTATCTACGTTGCCATTGGCCAGAAGAGATCTACTGTTGCACAGCTGGTGAAGAGGCTCACTGATGCAGGTACAGATTGCTGATGATGGTTGAGCCTGGCACATAAGGACATCCTGTTCTTATAATGCTGAATAATACTATGAACTCTCCTGACTGAGAGTATAGACAGGATTCTGTTCTTATTTGATAAAAAAATTACTTATTTTTCTAGACAAGTTCTTGCAGTTACCGGCAGGGATAGGGGACACCTTTTCACTTTGGATTAGAAAACTAAATGATGCCCTGAAACTGTTGAATTGCTTCTGAAAACATGACCCTTCATGTTTCTTTCATCAGAGTTGGGGGAGTTTCCTCTTGGCAGTCAGGCCTGATAATAAACTGTGGCCTGCAAGTATTTTTATTGACTTTGCATTTGCTTTTGTATGCATGCAAGTCAGTGTGAATGGCAATTTAAAGTCTGGTGAAGAGACTTTACTGCCCAAACATAATCCATTATGTCACAGTATCTTTTCAGAAACAGTAATGTCTGGCAAAAAAGCCGTGTGTATAACAGGGTTTAAAAGAACCTAGGCACTTTGCCTCTTACCTGCTGGTCAAGTGGAATCATACCTAGTAGAAAAAAAAAGTATTTTAGTGGCAATTTGTTTTTGGACTATGAAGCATTGTAGCACCTTCTTGTACAAGCTAAGGAGTCAGACTTCCAGGTCTCTGACTTCTGGAGCCCAAGGGTGTCTTAGTAAAAGCTGAAGCCTCACTTCAGATGAAAAATAATCTGCAAGTGCCAGATAATGGCTGCTGTAAACTTGCTTGTGAAACTTTGAGTTAATCAAGCTTAATAGGTTAATCATCTGTTTTACTTTCCTGTAACTGGTGATACTGCTTGGGTTTACTTCAACTGGCACTTAATATGCATGTTGCATTTGATGATTACTGGCGTGATAAAGTAATATACTTAGGTGATGATTCTTTCAAATTCTTTCCAGATGCCATGAAGTACACTATTGTGGTGTCTGCCACAGCATCTGATGCTGCGCCCCTTCAGTACCTGGCTCCCTATTCAGGCTGCTCCATGGGGGAATACTTCAGAGACAACGGAAAGCATGCATTGATCATCTATGATGACTTATCCAAGCAGGTCAGGAAGTGTTGCTTATAGACCTTGTGGTCCAGCATTGATAGTTACAGTTGCAAGATCACTTCAGGCTTAAGAATTCAGAATTTTAAATGAGCTGCCGAAGTCTGAGAGCTTCCTTTATGCTTCTGCACAGGCTGTTGCCTACCGTCAGATGTCTCTGCTGCTGCGCCGTCCACCTGGCCGTGAAGCCTACCCAGGTGATGTGTTCTACCTGCACTCCCGCCTGCTGGAGAGAGCGGCCAAAATGAACGACTCCTTTGGAGGCGGCTCTCTGACTGCCCTGCCTGTCATTGAAACTCAGGCTGGTGATGTGTCTGCTTACATTCCAACCAACGTCATCTCCATCACTGATGGACAGGTAGGGCTTTCTCTTCGTCTGCCAGTAAATTGCACAGACGTACCGGTCTGTCTGAGGGAGGCTTCTGACCAGGGTAATAAAACAAATTTATCCCGTAGATCTTCTTGGAAACTGAGCTGTTCTACAAGGGTATCCGTCCAGCCATCAATGTCGGTCTGTCTGTGTCCCGTGTGGGTTCTGCTGCTCAGACCAGGGCTATGAAGCAGGTAAGCATGTAACGAGAGATCCTGTCATCAGATGAGTAGTGTGTAGGCTGTCCAACCCATTTCACTCTTTACAGAGTCATAAATACAAAGGGAAGTAAATTCTGAATTCCTTGGTATTGTGAAATAACTTAAAAAAAAAAATCAGAAAAATTTATGGAGTCTGTGATATTTCCATCACATGGTGGCAGGAAGCAGGACATGGGGAGTAGAGGGAAGAGTATTTTCATAAAGATTTTTGACAATAGTCAAAACCAGACAAAAATGGTCAAAAGTTCCATTGTGCTGAACTGGGTGCTGATCCAGCTGGGTACAGAGAACGCTCTGTTAATGCCATGCTTTTTAATCCAGATGCAAGTTAGAAGTATCAATTGTGATACTTTCAGAGAGGAATACCATGTTAAAGGCCAGACAGTGTGGGATTTTTTAGAAGTGTGATTAATCACCTATTTAGCTGACTTGAGACAACTGTCAGCTGAAGATGACCTGCAGACAACTAGATTCATTTAAAAGCTGGTGAAACTCAGCGTGCCCTTGCCTTTTATTGTAGGTGGCAGGTACCATGAAGCTGGAATTGGCTCAGTACCGTGAAGTAGCTGCCTTCGCTCAGTTTGGGTCTGATCTGGATGCTGCCACACAGCAGCTGCTGAATCGTGGCGTGCGTCTGACAGAGCTCCTCAAACAAGGACAGTACGGTGAGTGTCTCAGGTGTAACGTGTCTGCATTCCCTCTTAGTCTGTGGTGCTGGTCCTTGTGGCAGCATGAAGATATCCTTTGGGTATTGTAAACGCAGGCTTGGCAACCCTTTTGCATACACAGAGCTGATCTTCAGAGAGACTGATACTGATGTATCCTGAAACAAGAATTGCTGATGGTACGAATGTTTTCTTTCATGCAGTTCCCATGGCTATTGAGGAGCAGGTTGCAGTCATCTATGCTGGTGTGAGAGGTCACTTGGACAAGCTGGAGCCCAGCAAAATCACTAAATTTGAGAGTGCTTTCCTGGCTCATGTCCTGAGCCAGCACCAGGCCCTCCTCTCCACGATCAGGTATGATAATTTGTCTTAGTTCATGTCGGGGTACTGACCTGGGAGCTGCAGCACAGATAATGGTCACTGAACCATTCATTAAGCTAGTGTATCCCCGAACATCAGGCCTTCTGCTGCCTCTGACTGGAGCTTAAATCAGCCTGCCTGCTGTCCTTGCACTGTTACACAGATCTCAGCATCTTGTCTACAGTTTTTATTCAGAAAAACCCAGCTGATGCTTAAAATGAACCTGTTTGCATGCTTCTCCTGTAATCTGAAATGGAACTCACTTCAGGCAGTGAGCTGGCATGCTTTTGTCATGCTAATAGCTTTAAAATATTAGAATTCTGTGGATTAAGTGCTGCTAGCTGCCTTGTTGCAGAGCTGACTCTGGGGGTTTGGGTATTCCCACAATCTTGTCCTGTGAGCTGGTTCTAGCTTGCTTTGTCCTGAGCCAGATTTATGCGTTCCAGCTCTGGCAGAGCTGTGCCTGGTTCAACACGGCTCTGTTCTGAGAATATTTGTGGACAAACCTTAGTTCTTAACAGGACTGACTTCTTACGGAAAAAGAAGGTTGTGTTAGTGAAGATCTTTTTTTTTTTTTGACTTGGGAATTAACAGTACATTTACTTCTGTGTCAGAAGCTTAACTAAACTCTGTTTCAACAGGACCGAAGGGAAGATCTCTGACCAGACAGAAGCTAAGTTGAAGGAAATAGTCACAAACTTCCTGTCTACTTTCGAGGCATAAACTTGTAACCATTCAAACAGACCAGGCGGTTTTTGTGGTCATGTGCTACAGCTCCATCAAAGACTTAAAAGTATGTGCGACTTGAATGTACAGATCTCACTGAGAATAAAAGTTTCCATGTAAAAAGACTTGGATGTCCTGTTCTCAATTATTGCCCTTCTGTGTAGCTGCTCTAATGACTCGTGTGCACAACTTCCCTGGACACACAAAGGAACACTGAAAAATCAGGGTGCTTTTGACTTGAGTAGATCAAAAAAATAAAACCTGGGAGGGGTAGCAGTGTGTGTCTGACTGCTCCATCATGCAAGTGGAGCTGTGGGGTGAGCAGACCACGGGGTGGTGCTGCGAGGCAGAGAAACAGCGTGTGGGTGGTGGTGGTGGTGGAGGCTGCTGGCAGGCGCTGCAGAGAGCAAGAGATCACTTGCACCCAGGAGAGCTGCTGAAAGGAGCCTCCGTGTGCCAGAAAAAAAAAAGTTTGATTTTTTGCCGTGTTTTCATTCAGGTAGTGCTCGCTGTGCCTGTTTTGCTGCAGCTTCCAGCACCACATCACTGTTGGCACCACACTGATGCTGCCTCCTCATGCTGGTGCTGCTGAGCGGTGCCGTGGCACACAGTGTGTGCCCTGACCCTGGCTACTTTGTCCCGCTGCCTGTCTCAGCCCCACGGGGGCTTACCTGGCTGGCTGAAAGTGCCCTCAGTGCAGAAGGTGAGGGTGTGGAGGAAAACTGGTGATTTATTCCAGGATTTGGGGTTGGATCGGCTCAGTGCACCGTGGCTGGCTGATGTGCTCACAGAGGAGGTTGCTGAAACCTCAAAGACTTGAGCCCAGCCCCAACTGCGACCATGGCCACAAGCAGCGAAAGAGAAAGCCCTTCAAGCACATCTTAGCTGTAGGTGTCACGCCACCCTGGGCAGATAAATTAAGTGTAAAATGCCTTATTTTCACATTACTGGCTTGTTTTAGCTATCCCTGTGTTAGAGGCGGCGAATGGGCACAGTCGCTGCCCATCTGCTTTCATCCCCCATCGCTATTCCAAGACCAGAGGTTGCTCACCTCGAGCAGCGACACCTCCCCGGGGCTGGGAGCAGGCTGTGCGCCCCAAAACCCTCCCCAAAAAACCCTCCCCACCTGCGTGGGGCCGGGCTGCGCGCTGAGCACACCCCTCGGGGCTCTGCCCCCGTCCCGGCTCTCCAAGCCGAAGCCCTGCGGCTGTCCCCGGGCCGGGCGGGGCCAGGCGGGGCTGAGCCGAGCCGAGCCGAGCTGGGAGGGAGCAGGGGGCAGCGGCAGCAGCAGCAGCAGCATGCGGGAGGCACGCTTCAGGGACCACTTTTGGGTGAGTCGGGGTTTGGGATGGGAAAAGGGGGGGAGCTCGTCCTGCGCTGCGCTGCCGGGACGCAGCCCTGCAGGACGGGGAGAAGGTGCGCGGGTGCTGGAGGAGCCGGTGCTGGGTTTTGGCACAAGGAGAGGAGGTCCTTGTGGCCTTTACGGCAAGCGAGGCTAATTACTAGGTAATCTGTAAATAATCCGGGCTCGAACTCTTGGTGCTAATGAGCTTTCTGCGTGGCTTTTTCCCTTCTGAAGCCAGCGGGGTCGGGCAGCAGGGGCCGAGCAGGGATGGGAGCGTGGCAGCGCTGCCTCCAGGACCCGCTGCGGTCATTTGGGCCATGGAGAAGGCAGCAGTGAGTGTGCATCACCTGCGGGGAGGGTGGAGGGGGTGAAAGGTGGACAGAAAAACCCAAATTTGGGCCCGGTGCAGAGGGGCTGCTGCTACGGCTTCAGCTGGCTGTAAGGCAGCGAGGGAGCGCAAACTTCCTCCTGAGATTTTTCCCCTTTTATTCACTTTGCTTGAGCCAAAAAGGGAAGAGGAAGGAGAGCGCTGCTTTGCTGAAGCAGAAGAGCACAGATGCAGAGGATTACACAGGGCTCAGGACAGCCCAGGGCGCATTTTGGGAGGGCTGCGGCTGCTCTGGTGGCTGCAGGGGAGGGAGGTTGCTGCACAGAGGGCTGGAGGCAGAGGGAGAGGATTTCCGTGCTCTGTCTGGTGGGCCAAAGCCTACAAACCACCACTTCATAAGCACGAACAAATACTGTGTGTGGCTAGCCGCTTCATTTAGGCCTTGATTTTGCATTTCAGGGTTTGAAGAAATGTCGGCAGCCCCATCTCCCTACCTGTCCCCAGCCCCATGTGCTGCAGCCGGTCTTGAACCTTTTCCCCCATCCCCTTACTTGTTTTTGCTCACCCTATGACATCTCGGTGTACGCTGCAGCCACCTACCAAAGAGCTGTGCAAAAATAATACACCCCAAATCCTGTTTGGTTCCTCTTGCCCTGCCTGCAGCGACTGCTGAGAGTTGAGCAAGCGTGGGGCTGTTTGCATGTTTTTGCAACCTGCCGTTCTCCTTTCACTGCGTGAGAGCTTGCCTTTCATTTTTGCCATTTCCTTGATAAGTGTCCGTTTCTCTGCAAGCCCTTCTGGCAGAGTGTTTCGGGAAACCTGACAGCGGGGCTTTGGGTCTGATCAGAGCACTTGGGGCTCACAGGTGCCTGTAAAACCATGCAGGGAAAAGGGAAACCTGATAGTGATAAAACAAGGTTTGTGTCTGACCCATTGGCTAACAGCCTGCAACCCGGAGGGCAGATTCTTGGCCATTTCTTTTTGTCTTCAGACAAACCTTATTTTTTGTGTTCTGAGCCAAAAGCTCTGCCCTCTGCAGAGTGTGGTGGGGTGCCTTAAAAAGGAGGACTTGGTAGGACATCGAGAAGATAAGCAAATGATGCTGAGGGCTGAGACCTGCTGGCTCCCACTCAGGCTGCTCTGGTTAAGTGATCTTTGCATATCAGACTGAGGTGCGTGCACCTTTTAGGCACTCCCAAGTGTTTATCAGCCACCTTAAGAAAATGAGGTGCTAAATGATGCTGCTGAAACACTCCATGGCACCTCTCTTGCTGGAGAAGGTGCGCTGGCATGTTTAATTTTCTACCAAAGCACGTGGGATAGGGTCTGAAAGCGCTGGTGAAGAGTGTTTGTTTGCACACTGGGAAATTCATCCCACTGGGCTGGTTCACACCTCGGTGGGATGAAGCTTTATCTTCTCTCCCTGCTCGCTGTCTGTCTTTTAACCTGCCCAGATCCACAGGGCTTTGCAAGGCTGGGGATGAGCTCCTTTTGCTCCATGTTTCTGCAGGGCTGCAGAAGGAGGGGTGCCTGCCAGGCTTCTGGGTGCTTTCCCTGGCTGCTGTCTCATGGCATTATGCAGGCTGGGCTGTTTCATTTCCCTCTGCTCATCCTTCTCTGAAGGGGACCGGCTTTCCTGGGCAGCCTGATGAGATCCTCAGGTGCTGGCTCGCAGGGATGCCAGTGGCTGTTCTGGTTAGGTGTGGTTGCGTCGAGCCTGACAGTCAATTGCTTTAACATTCACATTTGGGGTGCTGTTTCGTGGGATGCTGTGCTACGGCGAGGGGATTTGCAGTGAGTGTTCATCCCTGGGATGAGTTTTTCCTGCCCTGATGTTCCTGCTTGGAGTTTATCAGATGGAGAGGACCATCTCATGGACCTGGCCAGCCTGTGGATTCGGGTATGCAGTTGGCTGACTCATGGTATGGTCGGTGCCGTTCCCGTGCAGCTCTCACGCTGCATGATTTCTGCATGGTGCCAGCCGTGGATGAGAGCTTGTCCTCCTAGTCAGGGCTCTGCCCGATAGGGACGAAGGATAAGCCTCTGGGCTACCTCTGCACCCTGCAGAAACCTGCTCGAAGATTTTTCTCGGTCTTGGTGACCTCCGGTGGACCTTGAGCAGTTTTGAGATCGTGTCGGCTGCGAGCAAGAATAGCACAGCCATTTGTTCTCGCACGGTGTTTCCAAATACAAAAATAGACATACAACTTCTGCAGCGTTTCTCTGAGGAGACAGAGCTGAGGAGAGCTGACAAAGCTCTGCACAAGTAAAACGTGTCAAGTAGTGGTCCGTGAGCAGCGCTGAGGGTTTGGGCTCCTGGGCTTGTGACTGCGTGGCTCTGGTTTGGCTGCTCAGGCCGAAAGCTAAGGGACAGGGACATGTGTCTGGGGACATGCATGTGGCCATGTGTGCATGGCAGTGTTGAAGTCACTTGTGAAATTTTGTGTGCCCCAAACCTTTCATTTTTGGGGAGGTTGGGACAGGTTGCTTTTTCTCCCGCACCCTTATCTTCACAGGGCTTGTGTCTGGAGGGGGATCGATGTGAAGAAGATGGAGAAGATATCAAAGCAAACAGCTTTCCCTTTAGTGAAAGAGGGACTTTGCATGCCCACGGGAGCATTTTAGCCCCTCTTTTGCTAAAGCACAAGCAAAATCCCCAAAACATCTTAACTTCATGCCACCTGAAACGCCAAAATTTCAGAAGGGAAGCGGCACTTCTCCACCTGTGCTGCAGATGCGAATCCCACCTTGCCCTTCTCGTTGCATGAAGCCTCTCATTTCATCTCCCCCTCCGAAAGGGCAGGAACGGGAGTTTCCGCTCCTCTGGAGCCCTGCGTACTCGGGAAACATCAGCTGCTGCTTTGTCACCTTGAAATCATCCGCCTGTATTTTCCACGGGCGGTGCTGTCCCCTAAATAGCACGCCCGCTGTTAACCCGGCCAGGCGAGGTGGGGTTTGGGGCCGGTACTCCGGTCACCCTGCCTCAGTTCCCCAGCTGCAAAACGTGGGGCTGGGGCCTTTTTCTCAAGTCCTACAGCCAAACCTACAGGGATATCCCATGTGTGCTTGCTCTGGGATGCTCCTGGGGCTGTGCAGAGCCACTGATTTCTCAGGGAAGGAATTTGCATTGGTGCTTTCCAGGTCCCGGCTGTTTCCGTGCAGCCCCTGCGGACCTGCACTGCAGGTGGGCTCTGGTTTGGTGCAGCGGGATGGAAACCTCCCTGTTACACCCCAAATGGACCCTGTTAGCACAGGGAGCCCCGGTGGGTCAGGTTACCTTCTTTCCAGCAGCAGGCTGCTTAGTTACTTGCCCGTTCACCATCATTTTTGGTGTGGGAAGGCTGGCACCGTGCTGCTGGTTTTGGTACGGCAGAGCTGGGCCAGCAGTTTTTGCCTGACTTTTATTCTCTGAAGACGACAGCAACAGAGCAGCAATTTCTTTTATTCCCCTT